AGAGAATGATCTTTTAATCATTTTTTAAGGACGGGTTGCCAGTAAAAACTATTGAGCAACATTCTTTGCAGAAAGAAGCAGGCAGAGACGGCGATGTCTGCGCCCTCAGTTCACCTCTGACCCGGAACTTAACCTGTGCTCTCAGTTTGACCCGTCAAAATAAAACAAAGGGTTAATGATGTTGTGCAGGTTATAAAAGCAGGTAGAAGAAGTCCTGCTCTCAGAGCGCTTGAAGCGGGTTCAACAGAACCTGAGGTGTCCGGTTCTGCTGAATCGGACCCCCCGGTTCCGTCTTTAATTGGCGTCCTTCTCCTCCCGGCTAACCGCGTTTGTGGTGGGAGCCAGAATCCCAGCAGCTATGGTTTCATCCATCAGTAGAAAGCTGATCCCCCCTGGGAGCCCGTTCAGATGCCTATCTGCCTGCTAACAGCTCAATCTGCTGTTGTTTGTCTCTGCGGTGGCAGATAAAAGCTGAGCCTAGAGGGAGGCGGCGTCATGCTGTGGGCCTGCCCCCTTCAGCGCTCTGAACGGCCTAGTCAAATCCCGTCTGTCTTCTCACCCCCCCAGGTTCCGAGCGGAGGAGACCCAAGCCAAAGAAGGAGAAGATGAAGGAGAGGAGGGAGCGCTGGCTCAGCAGTAAGTTCTTCAGAACCCGGTCAGAACCTGCTCCGGTAATCGGCGGCTCTGCCAGTAATTGATCCGGAGTGTGTAACCGAAGCCGTCAGCTGACCCGATCGATGCGGCGGTAACAGAGCCCACAGCTGCTAATTAGGCGCTAATGGCTGCCGCGGTAACCTGAGCCCGGCTCCAAGCAGGCTAATTAGAAGGACGGGAAGCGGCTCCTTCTCACCCTGGAATCGGACCCGGATGCTTCTGGAAGCTTTGAGACCATGGAGCTGTGCAATAATCCCATAATATGATTGTTCTGAGACGCCAAACCCACTGGCTGCTCTGCACACGTTTCCATTCCTTCCATCACCCAAACACTCATTTATATCCATTCTGTTTTTTAAAGCTTTAATTCTAATAATCTGAAAATTCGACTTTATATTTATTTGGATTTTTCCCTAATATAATAATTTCTAATTTAAAATCATTCATTAATGGCATATTCTGTAGCTTTATTTCTTAATGTTTTCATAGATGATAAACAAATCAATAAACAATATTCAGTAATTAATATACGGACAGACAGACAGAAAAAATTATCAAAAATAAAGGAGCAGTTATACATTAATGATGTTTTATATTTAACTTATTGCTTCATTTTTCATAGACGACAAACAAAGTGACTGTTAGCGCATGCGTGGGACGGGTATTGACCATCACTTATATGAGGGGAATCAACAGGAAGCTCAGTGGTAAACCGAGTCTGTGGAACCGGACCCGGGGTAAACAGATCTGGTTCCATTACTCCTGCCGGGTCCGTTTAGAAGAACCACGCTAACCGGTTGGTTCTGTTCTCGTCCCGCAGAGATCGGCTCCATCAGACGGGCCCAGGAGCAGGAGGCGGCAGCGGCCCGGCGCCAGGCCACCCCAGTGGTGGGGGACCTGAGGCCCCTGGCGGACGCCTTGCCGGAGCTCTGCCAGCTCATCGGGTCCCCGGCGACACTAGGCTCCCGCCGTAAGACCAGGAAGAACCAGAGGTGAGTGGATCTGGTGGGTCCGCTGGCTACGTCCCGGTCCCTCCGGCCCGTGGGCCACCGGTCGTCACGGTAACGCCTCTGTTCCTCCTGTTTCAGGCCGATGAGGAGGCCGGCGCCAACAGACTTCAGTCAGATGAAACGGTCCCAGAAGCGTAAAGTTCTGTAAGCATCCGCCTCCTGTCTGAACGGAGCTGAGCGGGCAGAACCAGAACCAGAACCAGAACCTGAACCTGTTCTGCTTTCAGGGAGACGGAGATCAGCCGCTTCAGCGACGCCATCAGAACGCTGTCCAGCAAACAGAACCCGCTGGCGGACATCGGGGAGCAGCTGAGGAAGAGGATGAGGCAGGAGGAAGAGCAGGGGGGGAGCGGCACTGGAACCGGACCGGACCTGAAGGATCCAATCTGATTCCCAGTACTTTGAATAAATGACCCAAAGACCACTTCTCCTCTGACTGATTCTTTGTTTGGATGGGGGGGTCGGGTCCATCCGATGTTTCATCTGCGATAAAAACTAGTCAGTATTTAAAAGATGAACCACTGATTTATGACTAATAAACGTAGAAATATGTTAGTAGATGAGATGAAAACCAAACCAGCGACTGGATGATGTCTATGGGTGTGCTCGGTCCTAGGACCCGTTCTACCGGGACTGGGTTCTTCGCATCACGAAGGCTGGAAGGGTTCACTCTAAGGAGCCACTTTTTTCCCTCGCTTTGAGCAATGGGGCTTATGAGAAGGTTAGGGTGGATTCTTCCTAACCACCAGAGGGCGTGATCAAGCTTGGAAAGTATAGAATAAGAGGCTGATTCTCATTTTGCACTGCTGTGCTAGCAGCAGGTAGAACGGTGAACAAATGTCCCCAAATTCCCACATTTGGACATTTCCGTTCCGCATTAAAGCTGCTGAACCGATGAAGAGACTGGGCTCAACTCCTGCAGGGCTGAAACTAACTGCTGCAAGCTAACGGAAGCTAGCATTCTCTTCTCCTCCCTGCTCCAGGGGCTGTATGTAGAGCTCCCCCTGCAGGTTTGGAGGGAGACAGTTCAGTAGATATTAGCAGCATTTACGTGTGATTCATAAACCTGGCCGTGGCTTATAGTGAGGGGTTCCTCTATAGTCAGGAAAATACGCTAGCTATACGCTAGCTGACACTGCCTGTATGCTCTGTTGCCTAGCAACAGTTAACACAGCATAATCCTTGGTCATCTTTACCGTCGACAGGCTGCAGCCACATCACGAATTTCTGTTTTCCAGCCGTTTTTGTTGAAATTTGCTCATTCTCTAGCGTTTTCTCCGTCTCGTCCTTCTTTTCCGAATATTATTGAGTGTTCCCGCGGGTCCTTAAAAAGTCTTAAAAGGCATTGAATTCTTCAAAATAAATCTAAGGCCTTAATTGGTATTAAAATGTTTTTAAAACATCATAAGTAGGATTAATTTTATTACGATTTATTTTGTAATATAAATAAAACATAAAAATTGACTATTTTTATATTTATTAGAAAAAAAACGACTCGGCATTATTGGTTCCGTCCCGATAGCGGAACCAATAAAGCGTTGTTGCGGCCAGGACATTAAGGAGATGCGCCATTTACTTTTTGTCTGGAAAATATGAGCAATTTGAAACGTTGGTGCAAAGGTTTATGTTAAAATAAACCTTTGGGTAAAGTTGTCGAAAGCGGATTTTTCTTGTGTTTTATTTCAAGTGGCATTAAAAAGTCTTATATTTAACTTGCCTTATGTTGTAGGAACCCTGTTATTAAACTGCACTTCCAATATTCACCACTGTTGGCACTATTTCCGTTTTTTCTTCTTGAGCGCGGAGCAGCCGGCTTGCTTGGACCTGCTTTGAATCATGGGATACCTACGAAGGATACAGCAGACCTGTCCTTCAAAATGGGCAAAAATAAGGATGCATTTATCTGCCGCATAACGAGGAGTCGTGGAATCCGAACAAACTTTGGCGCTACGCTTTGGCATAAAACAGCCGACAAATCTGGCCTTCGGAGGACGCAGCCTCTGAATCAAACTCAGTCCCGCCTTTGATCCGTGGTTCTGGTTTTTATTAATTCAGGCGGGCCTGCAGCTTCCAGGTTGCATCGCCGCCACCTGCTGGTAAGGAGTGTAACTGCTCCATCAGGGGGTAGATTCATAAATACTGGAAACATCTGATGTACCAGTTGGAGTTAATAGCAAGGATCAATATAATCCTGCATTTATTCCCCTATGTTCAGTTTTAATGGATTTAATTCAAACTGTTCAGAAACATTGGACCTGAGCAACGCTTGGTTTTCTGAGGGGATGAAGGACGTTGGTTCAGTCTCTAGTCGGGAGGTTAAAGTCTGGAGACCAAATCTGATCGATTCAGGAACAGATTCATGACCTCAAACTATCGGAAGAAGAACATTTCTCCTAAAAACAAGAAGATTGTGTCCTGATGAGAAAAACACATTTAAAGGCATGACATCACTTCCTCTCATATTGGTTCCCATGATTGACCGAAACCTGAAGGGAAATAAAATGTTACTTTATGAGACTAAAAACTCGTCGTCTCAGGAAATATTGGGCGAGGAATGTTCTGGATGGACGGGGCGGGGCAGAGGGAGACCGCCTCTGGATGGACCGGACCTGGAGACCGTGAGGCTTCATGGACACCCAGGGATGAGACACGGACCACGTCCCTTTAATTATTAATACTGTTGTTATTTGAATCTATTAACCCCTGCTGCCCCGGCCCTCACTGAAGGATCGATGCTTTCACAGGAAGCAGAGTCTTTAAAATAAAGTCCCATAGAGGTCAGCAGGCAGTCCCTGACAGGAAGCATTACATAGCTACGTCTATTAAAGTTTCTTTTTTTCCAATTTAATGAAATAGTTGAATTTTAAACTGTTCTTTGCCGCCGAGTAGAGGCCACTAAAGACGTCCTTTCACCATGGCAACGCTCTATTGAGGCAACGCAACACGTCTCAGAGCAAAATTACTAACGTTTAGAATTTTAAATTCATAAATTGTGTTTTGGGCCAAAT